TCTATTTTTATAGCTGATCTAGGTATTACTATGTCAGAACCAACAATTGCAGTCAGAGCTGATCATTAAACCATTATGTTCTTGTAAAGTTCACTTAGACTCTAGCATCTACTTCACAGTATAACTCTGATACTTTAGTATATCTTTGCTTTTTCATCTGCCTTTTTATCAAACTTCCAATTCAGATAGTCTATGTAGGACTACAACCAGTCTATCAGTATATCAGATAGGCCTGATATTCTTTTCCTCTAATTTGTTTTAGTGGCTTAGTTAGTAGTACCTCTGAGACTCCCAACTCAGAGGTACTTGCTTGTCTGGCTACTATGATCAGGTACTATAACCTTGGTATCTGTTTTCTTAGACTAGCCTTTATAGTAGGGCCATTAAAGATCCAGCTACCTCTTTACTTGAGTCTTCTTAAATGAATTTCTTGTTATCCAATTTCAATAAATTTATATAGCCACAAGGACTTATTTAGTGTTTGTACTATTTAATTTGTTGGTTTGCATTTCTCTGTATAATGCCATACTTATACAGATGTCCTATGACCTGCCAGTCATGCTGGTGTGATTGCCATTACAGATATCCAAATCCAATTATTAGTAACAATTGTCATAATATGAATATTACATAGGTAATTTACAAATTTTCACTATCGATGAGATTTGAACATCCAACCTACCACTTGGAGAGTTGACAACCTGACCACTTTACTAGATTACTACATCTCTATTATTAATTTTATAAGCTTGCTATATAAGTATATTTTATATAAAAAATTACTATATTTTTTATATTTATAATTATTTATAAATTATTCTGATAAAAATTTTTTTAAATTTTAAAAAAATTTTATCCTATATGTAAAATAATATAAAAAACATTTTTATTTAATAGACAAAATATAGTTTACATAATAAAAAAAAGTTATAAATTAAAAACTAAATAATTTAAATATTTTTTATAAATTTATAAATTAATAAAGCCTCTTCTATGATCTACTATTAGAAAGAGTACAAGAAAATGAAAGTTTAGAGTATACAGTTAAGCAACAAATTAAAAAAAAAATGCAATGCAATAATGTCACAAGATTCTGCCAAGCAGCAATCACATATGCAGATGATATAACATAGATCACAAATAGCAAAGACTAGCTATTAAAGATCTTAGAAATAGCTAAGGAGTTTTTTAAAATGAATAATATAGAAATTAATAGATTAAAATCAAAGCTGCTAGTAATGAACACAAAGGTCAAGAGAAAAGAAAAAGAAGTAGCTTTTGGCAAAAATAGAGTAAAAGAAGAACCAATAAACAAAATTATCTGTTTATTAGAAATATGACTAAATAACAAGATGTGAGAAGTATTAGTTAAAAAAAAGACTAAAGAGATAGTTAGTTAAATGATAAAGAATCTTAAATACAAAAAGATAACAATAAGCCAAATCATATATATAAACAATATGGTAATAATCCCAAAACTAAGCTACATACTTCAGCTAACTAAAGTCTCAGAAAAAGGAATACATAAAATACATCAACTAATAATATATTTAGCAAAGCAAAAAAGCAATTTACAAAGAATATTAGAAAATTGTATAATAGAATATAAAGACCTTAGTGAATATAGAATGCTATAACAAAAACTAGTAATAAAGCAAGTGAGCAGCCTGCTATCAAGATTAAACAGACAAGATAGTCTAGGTCAGTTAATGAAGCTAAAATTAATACAAGATTGTCAAAGAGCAGATTTAACAAAAGACATTTAGAAGTTAGAAGAAATATCAACTAACAAACATGTTGAAAAAACAATTTAGCTTGTCTGATAATAATAAAAACAAGAGAGCTAGAAATAAATATAAGAACTAAAAATAACTTATAAAAAATATTTGAACATAGTACCAAGTTACAAGAGCTGTTAAAGATATAATTGTAGAAAAAAAATAAAACAAGAATAAATAAAATAGGCCTAATTTACTTAAATTAGCTACTTAACACAAAAGGCAAGAAGCTAATCACATAGCAATAATTCAAAAACTATTGCAGACAGTCAAGCAAAAGAAAAAAGGCAGAATGGTTCAAAGAAATAAAGTTTAAAGTGCTTGAAGAACCAACAAGTAGAGAAGTTAAAGAATATTTTAAAACAAATAGACATAATACTTAGTTAATAAAAGTAGAATGAAAGACTATATTAAAAGATAAAAAGAAGAAAGAATGAATAATATACAGCACACAAGGCAGCAGGTAACTAGAAAAGATAGTAAAGAAGAAAAAAAAAAAGATCTTGTTAGAACATTGGCAAATACAAATTAAGGAAAATGAAATAGTAACAGAAATTAGCCAATATAATAGTTGTATAGAAAAAGAAGAACAGAAAAAAGAAAGTTGATTGCAATAAATAAGAATAAATACCAAGATTAGAGTAATCTCTAATGCATCAATAGAAAAGAGTAACAACAAGATTAAAATAACTATAGACCAGTTGATAGGAAAAATAGAAACAAAAAAGCTAAAAGATAATAAACAAAAACTTGAAAGACTAACAATAATAGAAGAGTTAGAAATAGAGATAATTAAGCAACAAAAATTAAAAGAAAATGTTAACCAAGAAATTCTAAAGATATTAAAAAGAAACCTTTTAAGAAACAAAAACAAATATACTATATATACAGATGGTGCTACAAATCTAAAGTCTAGAAAAGAAATACAAGACAGAAATATGGATATAGGGTGGATTTAAACAAATAAAATGCAAAAGTGGCCAGAAGAAGAAGCATTATTAAGACTAGAAGGATGAATGATATCAACAATAACAGAACTAGTAGCAATTTGGACAGCAATCTTAACAATACTGAGAAAAAGATAAGTAGAAATATATACAGACAGTAATGCTGTAATAAGAAACATTAGTAAAAGTTTAGAGCAAATTGATAGAATGAAAATCCTTAAAAAGAAAAATACAATATAGATAATGAAGATTATAGATTTTATTAAAACAAAGAGAATACAGATAAAATTGGTGAAAGTTAAAAGTCATAGCAAGAACAAGTAGAATGACAAAGCTAATAACTTTACAAAGAAAAGAACAATAAGTGAAAAAGTAATACAAATAAAAAAAGTCAGTTGTAAAAAAATAGAGTATTGTCTAGAGTAGAAAAACAAATGAACTGATATGCTAGCAAGATTGTTATACAAATTAGTAACAAATACAAGATTAGAAATAGAATAGAAAGAAACAAATACAATTAAAAAATTAAAGTCAAAAACAAAAATCATGATTTATGATTGGACATAACTGTAAAAAACTTTAAAAAGAACTAAAGGAATGCATTACATAACAAGAAGAAGTAGTACAAGAAGATATGTATTTATAAAGTGTATAATAGATAAACTTCTAATCTTAAAAAAACTTAATAAAAAAAGACCAAATATATATACAACAATAGAATACCAAATATATTAAAACAAAATTAAAGAAATACAATTATATTTAGTATCATGCAAAGAACAACAAAACCTCTAGAAATGAATCTAAAAAATAATAATTGTAATGACCTGAAAAGAGTTGAAAGAAGAAGAAAAAACATACATCCCTCAATATGTAATATATATAGCACTTTTCAAAAAGATTGAAGTAGAAGAAATAGAAATAAGAGAAACCTTAATCAAAATCCTAATTCTAAAAAAAACACAAAATAGACTAACACAGCTTCTAAGTACAAAAACAAGACAAATTTTATAGAGACAGTAGTAAAGACAGCATGGAACTTATTTTATAAACAAGTTTGAAGAATATGATATAAAAAAATTAATGAATAGGAGAAGAAAGAAAGCATAATAATTAAAATAAAAAAGAAAAAAGTTAAAAAAAAGAATCTGAAAAAGAAAGAAACAATGAATTAGCAAAAGATTAAAGAAAAAAAAGACAAGTAAAAGAAAAAAAGAATAGAATTAATAAAGAAACTAAGAAAACAATATTAGAACTTGGCATGAAAAGAAAAAGACCCTTTTATTATAGATTTTAAGTAGTCAAACAAGTAACCTACTTCTGTTTGAAATAGTGTAACAGGTTACACTTAAGTACTCTTGAATAACCAGATAATATAGACTTAATTGTTAAGTAAATTTATGTAATTGCAATAAGTAATTTCAAGAGTCTTAATAAAGTACTAGCATGACTGCTTAAGTTAAAAAAGATAAAAATAAAAATAAATTAATAAGAAAAAATATTTAATTAAAATATAATAAATTTATTTTTAAACCTTAATATTATAGTATATATAATCCTAAAAGTATAATTTAAAATAACAGTCATTAGATTTAATATTATTAATAGAATTAATGTATTTGTAACAACATGTTACACGTAACAACCTCGGATTAGCCAATAGTAGTAAGAGTTAGGGTTTGGGTTACACGAAGTTTTAGTTATTTTTATTGATCGTACTAATTGAGTTGTTACAAATAAGCGCGTAACAAGTTGTTACAATTAGATTCGTCCTTATTAATAAGCTTTTTAATTTATTTTAAAAAATATAATGTATCAGAAGTGATAATATGACCTATAAAATGATATAAAAACACGTGAATCAGATCGACCAATTAAATTTTGTAAAATTAAAAAATCGATCTGCAACGATCTGCCGAAAATTAACCAGACGAACTTCTGTCTATGAGGCGCATAGTGCCTAAACATAACACGATCGGAAAATTCAAACAAACGTTCGTTTCATCAAAAATCGCTTATTTCTCAAAAATCTGTATAAGAAACCAGCTTTAGTGCTTTAACAAAAAGTTTTTCTTGAGAGATTTTGCTAAGCACAACAAAATTTGATCCTATTCTAAAAGCTAACCTTAACATTAAGAATTTTTGCCGCGACACAAAACTGGCACACATCATACTAAACTTTTTTATTGGCTAATCTATTTTTAGATATCACGAACATCACATGCAAATATTTGAATTGTAAAAATCCGCCCATATACTGCTTTTTAACCGAAACATGGATATTTCTGCAAGTACTTCTGAAATTCTTCCTACTATTGAACAAATGTTACCAAGTGCTCGTGGTCCGGAATGGGACGTGAAAATGGAAATTGAATTCTTTCGAGCTATTATGAAACACAGACCAGTTGGTAAGACTGCATTCTAAATCACATAATATACTATGTAAATACATATACTAACCTTGATTAAGGTATTCACCGTCATTTCCACATGGTAAATGTGCATCACGAATTTAATGCTAATAGCGCAGTAAAATGTACGATACCTGAGCTATGGGAACGATTTGGTACATATTTTAACCTGTCTAAGCTTGAAGATTTGGTAGGTAACATATTCATTCTCTTGTTTCTTTTAATAACCTTTTTCTTACCTGATTACATTGAAATTAAATTACTAAGGATCGTGATTTCGATGAAGAAGCAGATGAGGATAGTACATTTACAGAATTCAGTTTACCAATGGATGAATATTACCATCTTATTGAAGAGCATCGTAAAGCTGGTTCTTCACGTGGAGCTTCACCCTCACCGGCACCCACAAAAAGCCAAAAAAGTCGGAGAGAACACTCACCTTCGCTATCGCATACTGCTTCTCAAGAGTCTTCGCCAGAACCTGAAGGTTTATACATTTACATTTTTTATTCGTTTATCTATCAATAACGTTGTTTCATTATAATTAATTATTTCATTTAGATAATAAAAAATCGAGAAGAACTAGAATTTCAAGAAAACCAGATGTTGGAGAACCCGTTAAGGTACAAACTTCATCAAAACGTGGCGGAGCCAGAACACGAAAAACATCAGATGCAGCATCAACCACCATGTCAAGTGGGGCAGGACCTAAGCGTGGTGGCATTCGCAAGAAGCAGAAATAATTCATGTATATATTTTGTAATTTATTTTTTGCATATTAATAAGATTGAACTAAAAAATTCCACTAGTTTCATTTCACTCATATTCGCATTTATTTTTACACGATTGAATTGTTTTCGAATGATGCTGGTATGCACTAAATGAAATAATAAAAAAAAAGTTATACTATTATAGTCGTATAATCAATATTTATTAGTAGTAAAAAGTAATTTGTTTGTAAATTCATGTTGAATAAATCTATGCACTTTTGTATAAATTATCGAGACAAGTGAATGCTAAATCCTCTCAAAATAGGGTGAGGTTAATGCCGAAAATGTAAGACAGGCTATTGAGAGAATTCTGTCAAGAGTTGCAAGATTAAGCAAAACGACCGAGCATGTTACTAAATTGTGATATTAGAAAATATATGTTTAAAATTCTCATTCGTAACTTCAATACCTATTTCTATACTTTAATGAAAATGACCCGGATGTAATCTGATACTTTCATGGATTGTTTATGAATTATAAATTTGAAAGAAAAGCTAGCAAAATAAACAACCTTGGTATTGTTAAATGAAATCGGAATTGAAAAATGTATATCGAGTCTACCTTCGTTATAACGTAGTGGTCGGACTGAGAAATTCTGTTATAACATTTTAAATTGTTTCAGAGAATTGTTCTGTTATAACGAGATATATTTAGTTATTTTTAAGACGATATAGTTAATATTAATGGTAAGGTTATGCTTCTATTTTTATTGAATATTCGATTGAGATTTTGTATAAAATACAAATTTATTTAGAAAAAATAGAAACTCAGATTAGTTTATCTGTGATTTAAACCAACAAGTTTCTTTTTTTTTTTTTAAGTGATCTCTTTGATCTTTTGATTTTTATTAATGATTTTTTTGGTAATGTGATTCTATGAACCACTACAAGAAAAGTATACAATTGGGTACATGGGTAATTTTTTTATATTACCTATTTAAGAAGTTCACTTAAAGGTTCCTTACCAATTGTTATATTAACATTTCTGCTTGAGTGTTCTATTTTAAATCCTTTAAACTTGAACCTTTGTTAATATTATTGGGTCATGTTTAGATCATCATCTCAACTTTAAGATTATTTTATTCTTAAGATAAACCTTCTAGAGTTGATTTAGGTATTATTATAGTAGAACTAATATTTACAATCAGAATTATATCATTTAAATACTGTCTTTATAGAATTTACTCAAATCTTAACATCTGTTTCATAGCATATTCCCAGTACTTTAGTATATTTTTGTCTGTTCTTTAGATTCCTAATCCAGATATCTTATATAGAATTATAATCAATTTATTAATATATTGAGTTAATCTGATATCTTTTTTCTTTAGTTTATTTTAGTAGTCTGGTTGGTGATATCTTTTATTTAAAGGTTTTTGTTTATCCAAATACTTAGATATTAGTATCTATTTTTTAAATATAATCTTTAGAGTAGTATTATTAAAGATTTTTGTTATCTTTTTATTCAAGTTTTTCTAAATAGACTTTTTGTTTTCTAATTTTAACAAATTTACATGGTTACGAAGAATTTTAATACTTAATCTACTATTTGGAAGGTTGACAACTTATCTACTTTATTAAGTTATCACATTTTTCAAGATTTATTTAAATTTGAATATTAGTAATTATATATAGAAAATTGATTTGATATTTGATTTATTCGATATACTAAAAGTTAATTTTTAAATTAATTGAATTAGAAAAAAGAAAGCATGATAAAGATAAAATAAAGTTTAATAATAAATTATAGTTAAAAAGTTGAATTATAGATCCTAAAATATAGTAAAAAATTTGATTTTATAATAGATTTGTTAATTAAAATAGAATAGAACCTTTATAGAGAATATAGTAGTTATTTTTTTTAACTTAAGCAATCATGCTAGTACTTTATTAGAATTCTTAATACTATACAGATTACAGAGAATTTTTCTAATACTTAAGTTCAGCATCACCTAACCACCTTATTGGTACTTAAGTGTGACCTGTTGCACTACCTTAAACAAAAATAGACTGCTTGTTTGACTGTCACTCTACAATAAGATACCACCAATCTGATGATGTTTTCTTGTAGGAAAGCAAAAAAACAAAAAATGATTTTATATATAAAAAAAAAACAGAAGTATAGAGATAAATGATAAAAGATACAAAACAAGAAATAAAAGGAAAAAAAAAAAAATAAGAAAAAAGAAAAGTGTAAAAACTTGCAATTTACAAAATCAGATAGTCATGGTTTTAAGTTTGTGTCAGGTGTAAAACTTGCAATTCACAGATATCTGACAATCACAATTATAAGCCTGTGTCAGGCTTGTAAAAATTATAAACTATACTAAATAGAAATTACTCTACTATCTTTCTATTTACTTAGATTATTTAAACAAAAAACCAAAAAGAAGAAAAAACTTTAACTTTATCATAGAGAATTGGTATAGGATACTAGTTAGTTCAGAGGCAGTGTTTGACAGGTTTTTAGCAGCTCGAGGCATGTGTATAGTTATGTTTGTATTGCTGTATTATTTCTAATTTATGTCATAAACAATTCTGTTTAGGAAATAAACACTGCTGACTGTTTTGATAATTTTATATGTCAATCTTTAGGAGAGGGTAAACTAATTTGCCCACTTTTATAAAATTTTCCTCAAAGAAAAAGTGAGAATGCTAGATGAACCAACTTTTAGCTTTTGTGAGTTCTTAACTCTTGTGAGTGTTTCTTGTAAGTTTTACAGTTATATAGAACTAATATATCTGTTTACTTAATAAGAAACTTTGACTTTTACCAACTACTTCTTTTATAGTCCTAGAGTGCTCTTTAAACTATTATCACAAGGCTACAACTCTTTTTCAACTCTATTTTAATGTCCAACAATGTATGTACAGTACTCCAGAAAAGTTTTTATAAAGTTTAATATATTAACTATATTATTTTCTGTAGTTCAGCTTTTTGGAAAGTTTGGTTCAGATAATTATCTAAATATAGTAGTTATTTTTTTTTTTTTTTTAAATATTAAGGTGAGTACTTGCGACCCAGGATTTTATTGATAGTACATTTAGCTAATGGTT